GACCCTGGGTAAGCCACTTCTTTTCACTGTGTGAAGTGAAAAGATTTTCACTGTAAAATGCGAGGAATAGAACTAGACTCTGATTAATAGCGGGTCTCCTCTTACACATTACAGTCCTGGTGAGTATCAATTGAGAAAAGTGACCTTCTCTTCCTTGCTTTAAAAAAAAATGTTGCTACAGTATTCATTCAGGATGAGATCTCACATCTGGTCACTAGAGCCCCATGATGGGGCAAAGATCCCCACCTTCTGCATTTGACTGCAAGCTTGCGGGTGTCAATCAGTGCCCGGGGTGTGCCCACCTCTGATTGCTGTCTACAGAGAACAGGGGCACTGAGGACGTTGGTGGAGTGCTTGTCTTTCTCTGGCCTTGGGATATATTGACAAGCATNGACCCTGGGTAAGCCACTTCTTTTCACTGTGTGAAGTGAAAAGATTTTCACTGTAAAATGCAAGGAGTAGAACTAGACTCTGATTAATAGAGGGTCTCCTCTTACACATTACAGTCCTGGTAAGTATCAATTGAGAAAAGTGACCTTCTCTTCCTTGCTTTAAAAAAAAATGTTGCTACAATATTCATTCAGGGTGAGATCTCACATCTGGTCACTAGAGCCCCATGATGGGGCAAAGATCCCCACCTTTTGCATTTGACTGCAAGCTTGCGGGTGTCATTTCAGTGCCCGGGGTGTGCCCACCTCTGGTTGCTGTCTACAGAGAACAGGAGCACTGAGGACGTTGGTGGAGTGCTTGTCTTTCTCTGGCCTTGGGATATATTGACAAGCATGGAGCATCTGCCATGTGGCGGGAACAGTGCAAGTCTCTGGAGCTATAAAAGGGGAAAAGAAATTTCTAGTCAAGTTAGATGGAAGGGAGACTCTGAGTTCCTGGGATGTTTTCACTGGTTTTTAATAATAACGGCTGGCATTTTTTTGAGCAGTTATTTTGTGCCAGGTGATTTGCACACATCATTTCCCACATGTCTCCACACATAGTTACATATAGCTCCACCCCTCCACCAACCCTGGGGTGGGTTATCTTACTATACCCATCTTACAGGGAGACTAGGGTGGAGCAAGGTAGGTCATTTGCCCAAGGCCACCCAGGAGCCTCAGCTCTCTCTGTCAGGACCCTGATGTTTAGCTTATTGTGCTCAGATAAGCCCGACCCAAGACACTTGCCCATGTCACAAAGATGAGCTTTTATCCCAAGGCTTGTGCAGCTCTAGCCGCTCTTCACCAAAGTCCCAGTGGGAAGTGTTTATTCTTCCATGCTCTGCCCCTTAGTGCCACCTCAAGGTGCTTTGTTCAGATTTTTCCTCCCCTCCGAGCTCAGTCCACCAGAGATGATACACATAGATTTTTCTGTTAGCCTGGAGTAACTGCAGCTCTGAGAAGTCATGGTTTAGTCTAAAAAGGGAAACAAATTATATAAATGTATTGGGAGCTTGCCATGTAACTCAGGGAAGTACTCAAAGAAGAAAATATTATTTAGCATTTTGGAGATGTATGTTTTATGTCAAAACCATGCACCTTGGTGAGCCAAGTAAATGTTGCTGCTAGCTTGGTCTCCAGGTTGTATTTTCTGGAAGAGGATGATTGTCAAGCTTCTGCCAAATCATACAGTTATTTAATTTGCTCTGTCTGATTATTTAGTTGTCTGAGGGAAGATATACTTAAGAAGGAAAGNTGAGTTAATTTTTTCACACCCAGTTCTGTTTTAATTCAGGATTTTTCATACACGTATTTATTTCCTCCCTTTCTTTCACAGTATAATCAAAGAAAACAGAAATGCCTCTGAGATCATTAAGACGGTGAATTTGCTGATCACTTCCCTGAGCACAGACTTTCTCTGGGATTATATGATGAGGTGTTTTGAGGAATGTTTTAGGTAAGTATGCAGTTCAGGATTGCAGAGTATTTAGGAAGGAAGAGGGGCTTAACAGATTTGTAGAGGCTTAGTATGGTCTTATTATATGCAGGTAGCTGAAGCTGGGTTGTCTCTCCTGAGATTCAAAGTTCAGCTAAAACAAGGTTGGAAATAATTCACTTAACATTCTAATAGAATTTTTAAAAATCTCCAATAAGAAAGCTCACTGCCATGTAATTCTGAAGCTGCTTTATTTATGAAAGTCTAACTTCAGAAAATCCTCTGTGCATTTTCTAGTTATATTCATCAAATCGGCTTTCTTTTCACAGTTCTCTGGCAGGCCTGATCTATTTAAAGAAGCTTAGGTTTATGGCTCTATGTCTGCATAGAGCGTTTTTGAAATTTTCAATCTTCTTATATTCTTATTGAAATTAGTGCTTAACTGGTCAGATGAAAACATTAATGACTTAAGCTACTATAATCAGCTTTTACCATCACTTTTAATCTGGTGAGTTGCACCACTCAAAATTGTGCATGGTGGCATGCTCTGGGGACAGCATGCTTTTCTGGAGAGAAAGCCCCTTTCCTGTGTCATTTTCTTCACAAGAGAAAAATGAAATCTCTTGAACACTTTTTTGTCCTGTGAGGCTTGCTGTGAAACTTCTTTCTTTTTAATCTCCCTTTTAATGCCATGGGCTGTCTCACTGTTCCTCATGTACCTAGCAACTGTGACAGAAGCTTTCCTATTAACATTTACCGTGTGTGTCTTCTGGCTGAAAAGCCTTACATTAGCTCTCTGGAGCAACCCCAAGAGAAGGAGTCACTTCTGTTATCATGCTTTTGACATATAAAGCCAGAGCCCAGAGATGTGAAGTACTTTGTCTGGCATTGCACAGCAAATCAGTGAGTGGTAGCTGAGATTGGAATCCAGCAGCGCTAGCCTTGGGTCTGACTTCCCAGCCACTGCTGCTGCGTCCCCTGCCTCGCCTTGCACCAGGNTTGTTCAGATTTTTCCTCCCCTCCGAGCTCAGTCCACCAGAGATGATACACATAGATTTTTCTGTTAGCCTGGAGTAACTGCAGCTCTGAGAAGTCATGGTTTAGTCTAAAAAGGGAAACAAATTATATAAATGTATTGGGAGCTTGCCATGTAACTCAGGGAAGTACTCAAAGAAGAAAATATTATTTAGCATTTTGGAGATGTATGTTTTATGTCAAAACCATGCACCTTGGTGAGCCAAGTAAATGTTGCTGCTAGCTTGGTCTCCAGGTTGTATTTTCTGGAAGAGGATGATTGTCAAGCTTCTGCCAAATCATACAGTTATTTAATTTGCTCTGTCTGATTATTTAGTTGTCTGAGGGAAGATATACTTAAGAAGGAAAGGAGTAGATTATACGGAACTAGAAGGCTCAGTTAGTCATTTGGTTCTGTCCATTCCTTTCTTGCTAGACTTTAGCTACACCTCATTTCCTTCTCCATGAATCAGGGTGACAAAATTGCTCTTGTTTTGTAAAAAACATTTGGCATTCTTTTGCTGAAGATAAAATACACATGAGGCTTATCATGAAAGTATTTTCCTCAGAGGCTTTTGATTTTCTGAAAAGGAAATGCAAAAGACTTGATTCATCTACTGATTGCTTTTTACACAGTGGTGTTGACAGAGCCCTCATTTTCTCCAAATTGATCATGTTTTCATCCCCCTGGATAAGTGGGCAAGAAGGCAGGCCCTCAGCCGTGTGGTTGCCATGTGAGGAGCAGCAACCTCCTGCCCCATCTACTGCCCAGTGGATGACAAAGCTTCTCTAACATGCAGCTCATCCATTTCTCCATGCCATCTTTATAAGCTTTTCAGCATTGGTGTTATTTCTTTTGTGTTGTTATAGCCATAATTAAAGGAATTCAGAATAGGGAAGTTGCCCTACTCTGTGGATATTTCTATTGAGTTATGTCTCTGGCCAAGCGGTTTTGCACATTAACACATGTAGCATACACCCTGCCTCCACACGCAGAATCTGGCTTGAACAGGTCACTTAACCTCTCTGTGCCTCAGACCTTATGTGTAATCAGGGACAGCAATACAGAGCTTGTTCATGTGGCTGTTGGAAGGATTCAGTAAGTTAACAGAAGTAAATGCTTAGAACAGTGCCCACAAAAATGTTGTCTGTCTTCATGAATATTAATCCCCTGGCTAAAGTTGTCATTGTCACCACCAGAGTTAAGTTTCTGTACATTCTAGACTATATAAGTTGTCTTTATATATAGTTACTCTATATAAGTTTTACGTGTTTGTCATTTATTAATCTTAAAATGGATTGTTAGTCTTTTTCTGACTATTTACATTTTAATTGCAGGGCCTCAAGTGGTTGGGAATTTGTTTCTCGAAGTCATCAGAGCATTTTATTCCTATTGTAGAGATGCCCTTGGTTCTGATCTTAAACTTAGCTACACTCAGAGTGGAAATTCACTGATAAGGTATGGGTTTGGCCTCTAACTTCACACATCTTTTTCCCTCCCCAGTGCTATTGTTTTTTTTTTTTCTCTGTTGTTTACTATAAATTGTGAAGTGCTAGAGAAAGTGAGATGCAGCAGGTCAGACCACTCACTAAAATAATCTATGCTAAGTCAATCAGCATGAATTGACTGTTCCTTATTGTGTCCTGTGAAGAGTCTAAAAGGAGTTGGATCTAGTCTCTTCCTCAGCCTGGGATGTACAGGTGGTATTTACTTTTTTATTCTTATTTTTGGTGGCTAGCCAACGCAGGGATCTGAACCCTGGACCTTGGTGTTATCAACACCCTCCTTAACCAAATGAGCAAATTGGCCAGCCCCAGCTGGTATTTATTGATCAAGTGATCAGCAAAGACTGTAGTATAACCAGGAGGTGAGTTGCAGGGAGAAGAGAAGAAGGGAAGATGGGAGGGAGTAAGTTCAGGAGAGGAGCCGGGGAGGGGAGAGCAGGGCCACAGGAGGGGCTTGGGAGACCACAGGTGGCTTGGCTTAAAGTGTGCAGTTATCAGTAAATCCTGTTTTGTTTTGTTTTGTTTGTTCTTTTTAGATAATATAGCCTCTTCCTTTTTGCTGTATTCTTGATATAATTTCTTTTTGCCTGAATTGGCATGAGTATATTGAAAATTTAAATCAATTATAAAATGTTTCTGGTCTATTAATTGTAACTGTACCTACCAAGAGTTCTTAGTGTTCACTGTTTTTTTCCCAGAATGAGAGTAGTTTATTGTTTTTTCCAAATATGAAAGTCATACATGCTCATTGTAGAATTTACTGATATTTGAAGGTATCAAGAAAAAGATATCACTCATAATCCCACCACCCTTCCGAGAAAAACATTTTCACTTCTCTCCACACTTTTACGGTATACATAATACATAGATGCCCATCTCTTGTTTTAAAGATGGAATTAGACTAG